AACCGTTATATTATTACAGTAAAGTATAACTGTTATAAATGAAAAGGTTTTAAATGCTTCAACAACAGGGTGATCTGGAGCAATTAGTACTGGTGCCAAAGAGTGTCAAGCTCATAAGTAGTGCTCAAGCCAGGCTGTGGGAATATCTGCTGTATCCAAAACATAACGAGGAATACCTGTTATAATTAAAATGGAAGATTTTGCAAATTAATTACAATTGCTAAGTTTGCATGAATATACAAATTGCACTACATGAATATAGATGTTTTGTTATAAAACATTTTTTCTTCAAAATTCGATATGATATTTTGTTTGGCCTTTACGAAAACTTGCGTATTTTTGGCAGGGACAAAGTGAAAGAAAGTACCAAATATTCATACGCAAGTTAAACAATGCACGCACTCAATCAATGTTTGGCTTACAGTAGCACACAATGAAAATAACGAATTTAGTACAAATGAAGTGGGCATCGCGATATTTTCTCCGTCTGCTACTATACATAGGTGAAGCACGAGATTTTCTATCTACCTGTCAACCACGAGCTATGGAAAAAAAACTTATGCAGGTGCCATTAAAACATAAAAAATATGTTCACATAAATATAAATATAAAAACACAATATACATATAAATATACATTACAATAAATAACATATATACTTGCATGTAAATATTTTTCAATACTTAATTGAATCAGTTTTAACATACATACGTATGTACATAATATATTTTAAATAGAAATCATATCAAGCCATACCGCTAAAATATTAAGCCACTGGAAGAAGAAAAGTAAAAATACACCATTCTCTTAAAGGCAGCAACAAAAATCGGTTTCGTAATATGTGGAGGTAATTTATTCCAAAGAATTATGGCCGGAGCGGTGAAAGATGAAAGACACAAAAAATTAGTGTGCCAGGAAAAACACATAAAGTAGTTCCCTCGTAATATCACAAGTTACGATCGTGAGAGGAACTCAAATACTGAAACTTGTATTTCAATTTTTGGGACGTGAATGAATTATAAATAATTGAAAATGGGGTGCAAAGAATGCTGATATATCTACGCTGATGTATAAGGAAACAATTAAGCTTATAACGATTTAAGGATACAACATGATCGTATTTACGAAGACTGAAAATATAACAGATGCAATTATTGAGCAGACAATCCAATTTGCACAGAAACATACGATTGTTTGTACGTGGCTTACATCTGAGTAACGCTCATCAGCATAATCCATGACCGTTAAAATAAGAGTGTTCGCAGCAACATAGCCTTAGACTCAATAAATCGATTATTAACCGAAGGTCTTTAACTATAATATGACGAATAGGAAAAATTGTCTTGTCGTAAAGAATTATTAATTTGTCGGTGTGTATAAAATACAGGTTAGATCGAGAGAGAGCAAGAGGTTGCGTCATTCTTCAACAAATTCGTCAATGAAATCCCCACCACTCGTTTGTGCATCAAAAAGTTCAGTGTAGGTAATCGTATTGTATTATCTACAAATTTGTTAAGGTCTTAAATTTGTTAAAAATTAATTTCTAGGATGTTAAGGTCTTAGCGGTCAGCCACCATAAAGTCTACTTCACATGAGGATACCTCGTGTAGAGGCGAAATACGTGTCATCATCGAAGGTGGTGTGTCTTTCCTAGTGTAGCGGTGTTGGGAGTAGTGGTGCTGGGATTTGTGGTGACGGGGATAGTGAACGCAATTGAGGGAGGGCGGGAGGTGCTCTTCATTTAAGTAAGCGACATCATTTTATTTCATTACGCGGATATAAGCAAATATATTTTTAACTACTTTATTATAATGGATATCCGCAAAGTAACGTCTGATAATATTAATTGTTAAAGTAGTATTAATTGAATTCTTAAAGTATTACTAATTTGTTAGTGCGGACATGTCAAGAAAGCGATCAATTATTTTGACGAGACTTCAACGACCCGATTTATCTTATCTCATCTTCCTTTATAAGATTAGAATCGTTCTAAGAATTTCAATTCCGATCAAGTTGTGCGTGAGTAGAATGCACATTTCTGCTTATTTATGGAAAATACAGAGAGGGCATTTTGTCTATAAAAGCAATATTATTAATATTTTTATGTATTACAGGTTGAGTAGAAAAATAAAGATTCTCGAATGGTGGCATCCCTTGAAATATTGTTTGGAACATCCTCTCTCTTGAATGATGACCTGTTGAGTTTCACAATACGTCAAGTATGTGTTAAGGACTAATTTTGAGGAAAGAAGGTTTTGTTAAATGTGGTTGATCCATCCTGCAGCTATATTAGTAGTATAGTTGTAGCACAAATGGATCAGCTCGACACACAAAATACTAGCATAAAATAGCAGATTAACACTGCTGTGTTTCGTATGGTGAGTGTAGAAACCCGGAGACCCTTTTTACTGAAAACAAGGCATTGCATTTTAGTCCTCACGGGTGACAACGTATCTGCATTTTGATTTGTAATCGAGGATGTAAATATCTATGGGTCACAGCAAATACTTATCATCTGATGGACTGTATGCTTTTTTGTCACCGTTATTCTATAAAAAACATATTCATTATAAAAAATTAAATACCATAGAGTCCATAACTATACTGGCTCTCTTACCTCGTAGACAAGAACACAGTAGTCAGCGTACTCAGAACTGCTGTTCGGTAATAGAAATAAATAAAAAGTTGGTACCAACCAAAACGGGCACCGTGGAAGAAAGTATGCCTTACTAACTAATAAAGTTACTTTTCTATGTATGTATAATATGTCAACAGAAAAAGTTTTAGTAGTAGCCTTGTACCAATAAGCCGCAATAGATATAATAAAGACCTGATTTTACAAGCGGGAAGTTGATGGATGGAGGTGGATTTGGATTGTGTTGTGGCAATAATTGTGTAAATGTCATATTCAGTAGTGGACTAATGAGGGGCTGTAATGATGATGATGATGTAACAACTTACTTCCACGTGTTAATATCCCTATAGTATCCAATTGCAATGTTTTCAAAAGGATGTCTATTTGTATACTATTTGTGGTAGAGCCATGCTGCAGCTATATTAGTAGTATAGTTGTAGCACGAATGGGTCGGCTCGTCCGGGGAAGGACCACGCTCTCACAGAATACCAGCGTCAAATAGCAGCTTCATGCTGCTGTGTTTCGTATGGTGAGTGTAGAGAACCGGAGACCCTTTTTACTGGAAAAGAGGCATTCTATCTTAGTCCTCACGGGTGACAACTCATCTGCATTTTGATTGGCAAACAAGGATAAATGAAGATGTCTATGGGCCATAGCAACCACTTACCATCAGGTGGACTGTGTGCTCGTTTGTAACCCTATCTTATATAAAAAAAAATACAACAGTCTCGAAACACAACGTCAAGCGGGCTCTGCGGCTTTATAACTGACAAAATAATGAAAATGAGGAAAATCGACATCTTAAATCATATCCTTTACAAATTCCTCAATTTGACAGTGATTTTTTCACTAACGTGATCTTAAATTAGCGCGGTTACAAATTAACCGCGGTTACAAATTAAGCAAAAAAAAGTTTGCTATATTAGCTAAAATTAACGTAGTTTATTTTAGTCGTAGTTGAAAATATAAGATTACCTACATCTGAGTCTTCATTCATGTTCCATACAAAAAATTAGGATGATTTGGGTATAAAAGTGATGGAAGCCTCTTCACTATGTTTCTTCTAAACTTCTCCAAGCGACGTACTTTTACTGAAACAATCACAACTTTCACATCTACTTGCTTTTTGTGAACATAAGGTAACAAAATTAACTGTACATTTATGCAACGGCTCAATATTTGTAAAAATGTTATCTACAGATTGGGTTCCACATATAGGCAATAAATGAAACCACATACCTACTTGTTATCGCCTTTGCTGACGATATACAAAATATGAACGTAATCGGCCTGGTAATTTGGCCTAAGGACACCTGTAATCGACCATTAGCTTCTTTCAAAGGGAGTCACTATCGATTTTTTTGTCTAAGTGTGTTCTTGTAGATTTAGAGATAATAAATTATTTTCACATTATAAAAAACTCATAAAAACAACCAATTAAAAAAGTCATACTTACTTACGCGTTTCCTAGGAATTCACAAAACGGCAGTTTCGTAAGTTCAGTTGTACGAAAATAAACTTTTTTTAACAATCAATAACTTGTCAATTGTTACCAAATCAAAAATCAAATTTACTTGTATTCAAATTTCTTGTAATAGGTAAATAAGTGTAAAAAGAAAAGTATCGATAAACGATAGTTGCACCTTGTGCCCGCCCTATTTATTACTTTTATTATTTTCGCCATTTTGGAATTTGGAAGTTTCGCTTTCAGTTCACCGCGTATCTTCCAGAATACGGGTGCGTTTCGCTGCTTGCACGCATTGCTTCAAGTGATTTGTTTTTCGTAAGATAAATACAATTAGTCAAACAATATTTTTTATCGGTGAAATAAACACTTATTGGTTAATTGACTTCTTGTGTCTAAATAGTGTTTTTAAGTACGTTTATTTTTATTAGTTTTTCACTGTGATATTGACACTACTTGTCTTTTGTGTGTACGTGTTGGCGGCGGCCATTTTTACAGTGCGGCAGAGTATATAGATATGGTTTCATTGTATGGCGAATGCCGCCAAAATTCAGCGTTAACTCTGCTTACTTATCGTGAGAGATACGGCGCAACTCGCGTCTGCCCTACTAGCGTCCGGACAATTCTAGTCTGATTTTTCATTCCGTAGAATTCGGACAGTTATCATTTTTTGACATGTCAGAGATTACAAACCTTTTAGGCCTGGCACATTTTTCAATTTCAATACGAGTCTGAACATCTGAGTCTATACATTCGTTTTATTTGTTAGTGAATGTATCCATTATATTAAGTGCGGTGCTCCACATTAAAAGTGGTTTTACGGCGGGTGATAATTACGTCCCTTTTCATTACAAACAGTAAAAAACGCACAAGTAAAGATAGCATATTTTTATTAAAATCTTAATCATCATTAATGCTTATATCACAATCTTCATCATCATCATCATCATCGCTGACATGAATTATTAAAGAGTATGCGACTGTGTCAATCAAATCGTCGAAAGTGCACATCTTATCTTCTTCTTCGATTTTATGGCTGATACATTTTTGCCATTTATCAGGAGTAACATTACTTAAAATTTCCAGTAATAGTTTTTTAACTTCCGCCATTTTAAAACTTCTGTTGTGTCTTGCGACATGCCCCTTCGCTTGAGCCCACACAAATTCAATAGGGTTGAGCTCACAATGATATGGGGGCAGTCTAAGCACTGGAATGCCTTGTGCTGCGGCCATCTCATCTACAACATACTGTTTGTATTTGTATTTCTCCTGACCTACAATTTCCAATAAATTAGCTTTTACTATTTTTTCTTCAAAATTTAAATTTTTTAAGTCAACCACGCTTGGATATCGCCTATTCTCCATGCACTTGTTGGTACTTTTTCGACCTTCCTCGAATGATAGGGAGCATTATCCAACACTACTACCGAGTTTGGTTTTAATTTTGGAAGTATTTTTGTGAACCACTTTTCAGATACATTCCCAGTCATCTCCTTGTGGTAATCTGCCAAGCCTATTTTTGCCTCAAAAACCAATAACCATCATCCAAAAATCCTTCTTCGCTCCCTATATGGCTAACTATAATTCGCCTCCCTTTGCCTGTAGGTGTCTTAAGCGCTATTGTCAAGCCATTGAAGAAAGCTTGTCGTGAAGATTGAATATTGGTATCACACCACACTTTATTGATGGTACGTCCTGAAAATAAAAATATATTTAATATTTCACTTATACACGAGGACAGTTATATATGCATATAAATTGAAAAATATTACCTATAAATATGGATTATTTATTTATTCATTTTGGCAACAGAAATTTATGAATAAAGTTAATTTAAGTGTTTCATAAGTACAGAATTTGATTGCCAACTAATACTTTGAAGAAAAGTAGATTATAAAAATTTAATTACCAGATTATTCAATACTTGCCTTCGTTTACCCACGTTTTATCCTGGTAATATTTAAACCTGCCTTCTCTTCTATATTGTTTCATTTGGTGCAAGTATTTTTGACACCATAGTAAAATCTCCTTGAGATCTGTTAGCGCACTTCAACGTTTGCGACTTGCGTATTTAAAATTTAAATGCTACAATACTTTTCTTAATGTTAATTTCGACATAACAAGCATGCAAATAAGCATTTACATTACAGTAAGAATGTAGACAGGCAACACAAGTGAAAGTATAGTTTTAAAACAATGGGGGATGTTAGCAACGAGTGGTTAAAGAATTAATAGTAACTTTACCTTTTCAATAGTCGGAATCTCGTTCCTGTAGAAAAAAGCGTGAACCTTTCGTCGAATTGCAGCGAAAGTAAATTTGTCAAATTTTTATATGAAAGATAGTTGAGGTCCACTCTTTTTCGGCTTTTGAAACTCTTTTGTGTCTTTATATTCTTTGGTAATTTTAGAGACACTTGACAGACCCACGCCAGTCATCTCAGAAGACTTTTTAGCACATTCCGTTGCACTCAATTGTTTGCGGCCAATTTTCTATGTTATATTTGTAAATATTTAGAATTATTGTCTTTTCGTTGAGCCTAAAAGCACCAGGAGGACGCTTCTTTCTGGGAGAAAGAAAGTCTGAGTCTTGTGCTCTGTCAGATGGGGCTGCTTCCCGGGAAGAGCCAGGTTGTGGCTCCATAACGTTTATAAAAATTAACAAACGATCATAACACGAAAAGTCTGCAAGAAAAACTTAACAGAATAACAGAAAATTATCAAATGCAACAATATAATAACAGCAAATAGCAACAAATTCCGAGAACACATGAGTGCATTCGAGCATTCAAAGAAATCAAATGAAAATCTATCAATGTAACAGACGCGACGTGACAGCTAAAATTTTATTTTTTTTAAAGGTGTACTAAACCTGGAATTATGTGGTAATTATGTGAAACCTTTGTGTGATGCCAGCTTAAGAATAAAATAAAGAAATTAATTTTTAATTTAATTCGATACATTGTTCGTGATATTGAAATATTTGTTATTTTTGTAGTGGGTCACTTGAGTTAGTAAATAATTAGATTTACCTTTTTACGTCAAATTTGTCCCTTTTTCGGTGGAGAACTTTTTTTAGTAGCAACACTTATGAAATGTTAGAATTCTACGGAATGAAAAATCAGAGTTTACGTGCTATCCAAAGAATCGGGGAAAATCAGCGCATAGTGCCCAACACTCATGGAGGAGTTGCTCCGCGTCACTTTCCACCCTCGTTCAAACAACGAGTCTTAAACCATTTCGATCGGAATCCAACCTGCAGCCTTAGACAAGCTGGGCGTGTGTTTAGAGTGAGGCATAGAACAATACACCGAGTGCTGAAAAAGGAACAATCTACATCCTTATAAATATGCTAAGGTGCAGGCGCTTCTGCCCCATGATAAGCCGATTAGAGAGTCTTACTGCCACTGCGTACAGGAAAAAATGTATCAAGACCAACGTTTCCTATCAAATGGGTTTTGGACCGATGAAAGCACGTTTACTCGAAACGGCATATGGAACCGACAAACCATTCATCACTGGAGCCAAACGAATCCCCATTTATTTAGGGAATCAGTTCATTAATACCGATTTTCCATAAATGTTTGGGCAGGCATTCACAGAGATCAAATAATCAGCCCTGTTTTAATTGATGGAAACCAGAATGCACAGAAGTTTCTCAATATTTTTAACGGCCTAATAATAGTATAAAAAGGATTGTCTGTGACAGCTTACGATCGGGTATGGTTCCAGTTAGATGGAGCTCCTCCACACTTCGTACTCCTCACGAGAGAGCGGCTTACCACCATGTTCGGCGAACAATAGATAGGGCGCTATGGCCCTCGCAGGTGGCCAGTTCGGTCGCCCGACCTCACTCCTCTAGACTTCTTTTTATGGGGCTTTATTAAAAATGAAGTGTACTCAAACCGAAGATGAACTGCGCAATTGTATTGTTACCGCCTTTGACAAATTAAAAGACAACATTATGCGGCGATGTAACTTGTGCATTCAAGAACGTAGCGGACATTTTGAAATTTTTAAAATTTAGGGTTCCATTAAATTTTGCAACTAATATGCAATAATATTTATTTCGTTCAGTTCCATTATCGCGAAATAAAAAAGTGGCCGTAAAAATACCTAAACAGTTTAGTGAGTAAGTTTTTATTTCGACGCACATTGTCAAACGAATACCACTCTTCCAAGGGATCAAGGTTAGTAGTCTAAACAGAATGTTTACTTTTACTGAATTTACTTTAATATTTATTTTGTTCGAAAATTTCACTTTTTTAATTTACGGGCTTTAATTTAATATTTAAAGCGCAAGTCCAGTCGTGCATGGGGTATTGCTACCATAAATGGGCTGGTGCTGCAAAATGTCACCTAGCAGCTTTGGACTCAATAAAAGGGCGTGCTAAGAGGCTTATTGGTGACCCGAATTTGGTTAAAACCAATCTTACCAGCCTCGAACACAGACGTAAAGTAGCCAGGTTTTCGGTTTTCTACAGGATGCATTTCGGAGAGTGTGCACAGGAATTTCATAATTTAATTCCTGCCTCTCCCTTCCACCATCGGACAACCAGACGTTCGGCCAGTCTCCACCCTTTCGTTGTTGACTTACAACGCATTCGAACCAAACGGTTCACCACGTCGTTCATCATGCGTACAGCAAAGTGGAATAAGTTGCATATGTCTTTCCATCCGATTACAGTGTGGGTGTCTTCAAGGCAAGAGTGAATAGGCTATTATGTATTTATTATATATTATTAAGTTAGTGCGCTTCACCATCTCAGGCTACATCACTACTTACCATCAGGTAAGTAAGCGCTGGCTTAGTAGAATATTAAAATATTTAATTTTTCTACACTTCTATAGACTAGTATTACTTGTGGTTTCATTTATTGCATAAATTTGGATTCCTTACTGTATACATGTTGCACTAAATTCAGTAATACGCGTTGGCTCTAAAAATAAATTAAAAAGACTAAAAAAGATTTAAACAATGATCTAAATTTAATATTGGCGGAGGAATCTTTTAGGAGATTGATATTAAATTTTCCACATATTACAACAGATTTATTCTGTTTATTAAGCTTAACAAAAACTTACTTCAAATTTTTTTTATAAATATCGTATATAGAAAACGGGGGTCTCTTATACGATATTTATAAAAAAAATTTTAGGACGGGAGTACATTCTACGTGGTAGAGCCATGCTGCAGCTATATTATGGTTGTAGCACGAATGGGTCGGCTCGACCGGGGAAGGACCACGCTCTTACAGAAAACCAGCGTAAAATAGCAGCTTAATGCTGCTGTATTTCGTATGGTGAGTGTAGAGAACCGGAGACCCTTTTTACTGGCAAAGAGGCATTCCATCTTAGTCCTCACGGATGACAACGCATCTGCATCTTGAGTCTAGATTGAGGATAGATGTAGATGTCTATGGGTCACAGTAACCACTTACCATCAGGTGGACTGTGTGCTCGTTTGTCACCCGATCCTATAAAAAAAAAGACTGAGTTTTATAAAATCGGAAAAAATCAAAATGAATCCTCCATTAAAACGTTATGATTACCGTTTCCTCTTTCTATCTTATTTCTTTGCTTCTCACATTCCATCGCCTTGGAGATTCTACAATGGCTTATAAATCATGATGCGTGGGACGTGCTTAGAGCTGTCTGCAATTTAGAACCTGGAAATATCCCATTTATTACTATGATACAAAAATAAAAGCATTTGTGAAATATTTATTGTGTTCTATATTTGAAAAAAAAAGGTTAGAAATTTTGTAATTCAACTTTATGTAGATTATGTAGGTATTAGGGAAATATTAGAACGAAACCTGTGGTGGACATACTCTCTCTCTTTATTGTGATAATCAGCCAATGGGTAATATAAATTTAGAATTATGATTAATATTTATGCTTCGAAACATCAAATGGGCGAAATATTTATATATTCTTCGTTATCGAAGAGATAAAAAGAGGGAAGTAGTCGTAATAATTGAAACTTATATTAAGAAGGACAAGTGTGAATTTAGAAAATATTATATTTTTTCGTGATATTACTACTTTTATATTATATTTAATATTTCACCTGATCAAAGCCGAAGCCGAAAAAAACCTTCCCAATCATAACATAATTACATATAACAAAGCCTAAATAGTTCGAACTGTTGGGCACAGAAAATTTGTATTTTAGGATTAGCAAACCTTTTCTTATATTTTTGTGTTATTATAAAGAGTCCCTGTTATCTACATATTATATAAAAAGTCCCAGAAAGTATGCAGACCGTTTTTATGAAAAGGCTTAAATTATTTATTAAGCAAAAATTGTTTATTAAGGGTTATTATACTACTAAAGAGTTCATGACTGATAATAACTCCTGAAA